ATCCCATTGCAGGAGAGGTAGTATATCATGGTGACACACTGCACTAGATTCTTGTCTTGTCCCAGAATTTTTCGTTCGGCAGCATGCTGCTTTGGAGCTGTCAAGACTTCTTAGTGATCAATGTGAGCTAAAGTGGTTGTGAAATATTTTTTTTCCAAGTTTCCAAAAGTTCTGTGTTTGTTTTTCCCCTTGGCAGGAATTTTATGGCCTTCCATCATCCCCCATCCCACCGCACTTCATATTTTTATTTGCTGTCCTCTGATTTGACAGATGCTGGTTAGCAATACGATTCACAGCTTTAAAATAAAACCTCTTTAATATTGTAACATTTCAAATTGTGAATGTGGGGGATCATGCCAGGAAGCGGGCAATCAGAAATGGATCATATCTATTAGCAGGTGAATGGCAGGCCTCCCCTCATCCATCTGTTGGCTTTTCAGTCATGTACGTTTGGGATGGAGAGGAAGGAGCAGAGCTAGGAAAATATATGTCTTTAAATACAACCTCCTGAATTGGTTGGTTAGCTGGGAGATTCTGGTTGTTGTAATTTAAAAAAAAAACTTTCAGGCTGTGAGAAGGACACAATTTAGCACCCTCTTCTGTCATTGTCACCCCTCTTCTATGGAAACAAGATCGGTTAAGCATTTTCTTCCTAGTCTGAATACTGTCATACTGAATTACTTTCACCTATCTGAGAAGTCAGTAAATGCCAATGTGCTCTGTGCCCCTCAACATATACTATGGAAAGCTTGATGTTAGCTACCCCAAATGTTATTGATGTTTTTTGTTACTGGGTGGAAATTAATAATTGGACTGTGGCAATTCTTGACATGAACAAAGGAAGAAAAGGAAGACCTAGTTGCAGTTTATCAATTTATTTATTTATTTATTCAATTTTTACCCCGCCCCTCTAGACAACGTCTACTCGGGGTGGCTAATGATGTTTTTATATTAGTACTTTCAATGATGTTTTTATACTAGTAGTTTCACCAGCCACATCTATATTTTCTTTAGTGGTTTTCCTATCTTTTGCTGAAGTCCTAATCCAGTGTCTTGACTGGTCTAGACTAAGGAAAGGGCTGTAGTTCAGTAGCAGAAGGCACAATTTGTATGAAGGGGTCCAGAGGTTTCAATCCCTGACATCTCTAGATAGAACTGTAGAAAACTCCTGTCTGAAAATCTGGAGAGTAATGTTTTCCTCTTCCTTAGTATGATACCAAGCTGTGAGAAATGATAAGGGAAACAAGTCCGCTGAACATTGAAACTAGAAGGAATACTTAACTTCCAATTAGAAGTTCCTCTAAATGGTTAAAGATATTTGTGTCCATGAGCTTTTCTTACCACCAGCTCTTCCAAATTAGCTTGCTTTGTCTTGTGATTGGTCATTGTGAGGTAAACATGGACTAATCTGGAATCCTGAGTGCTCAGGCATGCAGCTCTAAGGAAATTCCATTACTGGATAACAAATGTGCTATCCTCTTCTAAATGTGAGCTATTTCATTTTGGTTGACACTAAGTAAATACGTTTAGGATTTTTCTTCAGTGCAGCAGTATTTGGTAAAAACTGTATAATACTGCTGCAAATCTTGTATATAACTAGTTGCCAGAACTGCAGCTAAAATCTAAGTCACTAAATTTAGCATATATATATATATGCTGCATTTAGTAACTTAGATTTTAGCTGCAGTTCTGGCAACTAACTATATACAAGATTTGTGAAGGTATTATACAGTTTTTACAAGAAGATGCAGTGAATATATTCTTATTTATGCAAGGTGATACTTCTGTGAAAAAGCAGAGTGGATGATGGTAGTGTATGGATCAAAATTCTTACAATGTTAACATTTGCTTTAGGTATTCTTCTGACCTGCAGAAGTAATGGTATTAGAAAGTGAATAATTTCTATCTGGATTTACCAAACAACAGTGAATAACCTCATATGGTATCTGTTTGCTCTTGAAAACAGCTATTTTCTGAGTGCTCAGTTGGGAAGGGAAGACTTACTTACTTACTTACTTACTTACTTACTCACTCACTCACTCGCTGGCTCGCTCGCTCGCTCGCTTGCTTGCTTGCTTGCTTGCTTACAATTCCTCATCCAGAAAGAAGGCGGGTGTTTTTCTACATATGGAGTGGATGGTGTTATCTTCAGGAGGTTCCTCCCTCTAAGATAATACTGTCCACCTGAGTAGAACAAGTAGAGCACTTTGTATACACACATGTTGGTAAGTCTTCAGACTGCCTGGTACTGCCTGGTACTGCCTTGACTGTATTTTCCCTGGCTTCCCTGAACCTTTCTTGACCTAAGAAAAAAAGAAACAAAATATCCCCCTCTAGTGGTTGAAGGCAGAATAGCAGCTTCCCATTAGTTTCTATGGACGGAAAAGAGCAGATACGGATCAAATGGTTTTCAATGCATTCCTATGGGAAATGCAGATTTGACCTGAGAACTTTTTGACTTGAGAACCGCCTTCCAATACGGATTAAGTTCTCAAGTCAAGACCCCACTGTACTTACTTACTTACTTACTCACTCACTCCCTCGCTCGCTTGCTTGCTTCCAATTCCTCATCCAGAAAGAAGGTGGGTGTTTTTCTACATATGGAGTGGATGGTGTTATCTTCAGGAGGTTCCTCCCTCTAAGATGATACTGTCCACCTGAGTAGAACAAGTAGAGCACTTTGTATACACACATGTTGGTATAAGCTAGCTGAAACTTTGGCCTGATTTAGCTCCTAGGATACTGCTCTTACCTCTGTTTCTAATAAGAGATACTGTAAGAGTGCATTCTTTAGCTGCTAACAAATGTTAGCAAGCTGCAGTAATGTGTTGAAGCTGAAGAGGAAGTCCTAGAATTTAGACTGCAAACCTCTGTCAGATTGTCCTGCCTTCCCTTATGAGCAGGGCTTGAAAAATTTTAGAATGTCTCACCAGTCAGTCAAAAATTTCACCATTCAGCATGACCGGACTATAGCCTAGCAAATTATGTTAACAAATTTAAACTAGGCATTTGTTCACTTTTATTTCTATTGAACAATGCGTGCAAACCCAAAATAAATTGTATTACATACACGGTATTTGCCTATGTCTACTTAGTAGAAAATGAACTGCTGTCAGAAGTGTTGCACTTGTGTCCTTGTACATGCCTGGTAATTTTAGCACTGAAGTACCATTTATCAATGGCTTTAGTAGGGTTAAACTGTGGTAGTGAAGGTCCATTTAGATTCACTATCATAAGGTCATCTAAGTATCAGTCTCTAAACACGATCTTAATTTATTTTTGATCAGATTCATCTGGCTGAAACCCCTTTCACAGCTAACTGTAGAAACTAGTAAAACAGAGGCAGTTTTAAGAAGCTTCAGAAGAACAAGAAACCTACCCCCATGGTAGTTCATTGCCTTTCCCAGTAAATCCACTGATGACAGACCTTTTGCACATATTTTGAATTTATACCATTCATCCAGGACTTTCTGAATTTTGTCTTCTTTGCCCTTGTGTTGCAAAAGGTCTTTGTAATGAGAAAAAAGTACGATTACTTCCTTTTTACCAAAACTTTCCAAGGACGTTTCTGGCCATGTGAAAGTCTCAAATATTGTCATAGATGTTAGTATGCCATCTGTAGCAGCTGCATGCCTGAGGGGTTATGAAGCTTGTATTTTGAATGCCTTTCTTTTGAATGTCTCCAGCAAAAATAAAACTGAAAGCAAAAGAGCCTGGCCTCTTAAGGAGCCACGGTTCCCTCCCACCACAGGACGTGTCCTCGTTTGGTTGAAATTGGCAACAGGGAATCTCCATATTCTCCAGCATGGGACTACTATACATTCTCCTGCAGAGCTATATCTCTATGTGCCACTAGAACTCTCTTCTCGCGAGAAGAGGACAGTTTTCCTTTTGCAATGGGAGGGGGAGGGGAGGACTGCAGGATTAGAGAGAGAGAGAGACAGGTGGAAGGGAAGGAGGCAAGCAGGCAGGGAGCTGTGACTCATCAAGCAGCATTTTTCACTCGTCACAGATGAGTGGACGAGTGCATTTTTCAAGCCCTGCTTATGAGTTACAGTTTGGTGATACAGCTGAAAACTCTTGGGTTAGGGTTTCTTTACTCCTTGGGGACCAATCATTCCTAAGTTTCCTTGAGAAGAAGAAATGACTATTCAAACATTTCAAGTCAGTACTGCATGCAAAAGTCACAGTAAGCTCTGGTTTCTGTTAAAAATGTTTTGTTGCTTAAGTACATACTGTACTTCAGCAAGAAAGTGTCCAATGACTTCTTTTCCCCATTTTCTGTTCATCCCCCCACCCATGTACTTTCTCAGCTCCTTTTTTTCAGGTGAGCATCTGGGGAAACAAGTGATGGTTGCAAGCTGGTATCACAACAAGCCATAGTTTAAACAACCAAGAGTCCAGAAGCCAACAACAAATCATGAGATTGTGACCATAACCAGAATCCTATTGATATTTTTGTTAGGTTTGGCCAACGTACTGCAACCATTTGTGGCTGACTGACAAGGTGCCTTAGTTACATGCCTGATCATGTACTGAACTGTGCAACTATGATTTGCCCCAGCATCTCATCAATTAGTTGCAGTTAGCCACGGCAAGTTACACATCTGTACACAAACACCGATAGGATTTTGGCCTATGGCTTTTTAATAGAGGTGTGTTTGTAGAACACAAGAAGCAAGCTATTAGCAAACCATGGATTGTTGTGAATATGGTCTTAGTGTTGAGGTGCTCTGAGAATTATTTACCTTAATTTCATTATAGGTTTCTTGTATACGTCTGTCTGTGAACAAGTATGTATATTGATAGTTCCTTGTAACACATCTGGTACCTACTAATAGTCTTCTTTTTTTAGAGGTTCCTAATTCTAAAATTCTGCTCCAGCATCAATTGAATGTACATGAATTTAAGTGAACAGTCTTTAACTCCTCTGTTTGAACTTTGGCCACCTTCATCGGATTTTGCCTCATTTACTGATTCCCCCCTATTCCTTATTACAGCTCCTGAAGTGCTTGCCCAGAAACCCTACAGCAAAGCAGTGGACTGTTGGTCCATTGGAGTTATTGCATATATTCTGTAAGTATTATCAACTGAGTTTGTGTTACTAATTTTATAGTTAAATATCATCTCCTTGCCTTTGAGTGACACGCCTGAGTGGGTGAATGACAGCAGATATTCTAGCACTCCAAAAAGTTTTATACACGTTTTTCCAAAGCGTCAATAACTTTAAGCATCAGGACACATTTTAGATGGAGAGTCAGCCCACATAAAGATCACTTGTCAAAGTTTGTCAGATCACAACCCTGCTTAAGATCACTGCTTGTTGAACACATTTCTTTGTGTTTCCCTTATATGTGTGAATGCATGGATTACATCACATTAATCCTTTTTCATCCTGCTTTAAATGCTGGATTATTGTTTGTGAATGTTTCTGAGGCAAAAGGGAATGCTTGGAGGCACAAAATACCTTCCAGGCCCTGATCCAACTTCTTCTTCTCTTTTTCCTCCTCCTAAAGAACAGCTTCTGGGCAAGAGGTTTTAACTGAAAACATAATACATGCAAAAAGAGTTAGCTTCCACTTGCACAACTTAATGGTCCTAGTTCAGTTTAGGCGCCTTGAGACATTAAAACTGACCGCTAATCCCATTTCATCAAATTTGGCCAAGACTTTGCAAATTTTAAAAAACTGTCCAACATTGTTCTGCAACTGACCTTTATTTTAGTGTTTTAATTATGATAAACCTATTATAATGATAAATTTTCCTTGAATGAAAGCTGTCATAAAAGCCTGAATTGGCTAGTTTAGCAGCATAATATTTTTAAAAGAAAAGAATGTACTCCCACTTGTCCTTTGAACGATTTGGCTATAGAATAGTGGGAAAAGAACCTAATTCTGTTTTCAAATACATGATTGAATAAATCATAGATATATACAACCAAAAATGCAAAAAAACCTCATCATATTGAATGTGTTAAAGAATACTTACCTTCAATACCAGCCTTTAGAGCTTCACTTTAATTGCATCCAGTTCTCAGTAACCTTGTGATCAGAGTATTTAACTACAAAACTATTTTTATGAAAAAATAATTACTAATTTTACCAACTTGAAACAGCTTGAAACTTCTTGTCATTCTACATGTTACTTTTATTGTCTTTTATTTAAAACAACTGGACTACAAATCCCAGATTTTTGCATTCTGTTTTTCAAAATTAGAAAATACAAGGGCTTCAAATCCAACACTCCTATTCTGTCCAAAGATGGAAATGTTTGGTTTTTGAATCACAGTTCAAATAATACCTCAGCCAGCATGGCAAATAAGTTGTTGTCCAGAAATGAACTTTCCACTAGCACCACCAGCACTTCTCCAGAACTGTGCAAAGAATAAGAAGCTTGCATCTGTCCGCTCAGTCAAGGAACAGTAACTCATGCCTATGCTGGGAGGAGAGGACCTTCAGCTCATGCACCTGAGCCAGAGTAGAGAGAAGCAAGATCTGGCCTGCAGAGGGTGCATATCCTAATGCATTGAACGAAGTTCAATGCGTTTCTATGGCTTTTTTTATTCCGTTTAGCGATGTTTCGCTATTGCGAAGGTTAATCCGGAACGGATTAACCTCGCTATGCGAGGCACCACTGTATAAAAGGGTGCTGACAACTCTGATCACAGACTAGAGATAAAGGAGTTCCCCTGCCCTAATAATCAGCCAGTACTTCCAGTAGCTGGCTGAGTCCAGTGGCTGGCTGAGTCCTTGTATTAAAAATACAAGAAAAGCAAAGACCAGTTACTTTCCAGTCCCTGTAATGCCCTGACACAGTACACCAATTTAGGCATAGTACAAAGGAGATGCTCCTTGGGTAGAGACAACTGTCCTCTTCAAGTTTAGCTTTGCACAGACCGAAAGCTAAGAGGCAGAGAGCAGGTCTGGCACTTTCCTTCCATCACATGTTTACTGTAACTGCTTCCATAGAATGTCTAAATATGTGCATTCCACCGAGTTATTGGAAAAAAGATCTTTTAGACCCTGTGAAAATGTTGCACCTGTTCAAGACTAGATCAAACCTTCAGTTAGTTAACAGATACACAAAATTTAAGACATAGTATGCTACTTCCTTTTTCAGATGTTTCTGCTGCCATTAGCTAAGATGCAGTAATATGGTGAAATGCTAAAAGATAATTCTAATTGCTAATGCTAAACTCACCTAAAATGCTGATAAACAATATAGGTTCTAGGAAAAGACTGTAATGACAAATATTTTTGAAACAAGCCCTAAACAAAATTAGCTGCATAATGTTTGGTGGAACAATGGTTTGTAGGCAAGAAGGCTGAGGATTAAGAAATTGAGTGAGGAGAGGATCTAGGAGATGGGAATGGACCTCCAGGAAGCAGTTGTATCTGAAGGAAAGGACTCTGGTCATCAGCAGTCAGTCAAACCTCTTATTACCAGAGTCGGTTAGCGATGTAATTAGCCATTTGAATGGACTCGTCCCAGAATTTCTCAGACAAACTTGAGTCCTGAAGCATTGGATCAGATATGGTCTGAATAATTGCATTTTTTTCTCTCTCCACAACCCCATTCTGGAATGGGGAGTAAATGACTGTTTTTAACCACTGCTGGAACTTCCCCACTATAAATTCTGAGCCTCGATCAGTTTGCAACTGATGTAGTTTGCAATTATATATCATCTCCACAAAGGTCAGCCACTGTTTACATTTCATAAAAGTCTAAAACTTGTTTTTCATCAAATAAATGAATGAAAATTTGCTATAGTTGTCCACTATATTTAAAATATATATTGCACCCCCAAATGAGGGCTGCATTGAACCAACTAGGTCTGCATGAACCTGCTGAAATGGCTTCTTAGCTCTCTCACAATGCTTTCTGTTTATAGGGCTGATTTTGTTCTTTGTCATTTTACAAACTGAGAAATCAATGTACAGTAATTATCACAGTTTTTCATATTCATTCCTTCTGCAAACTCAGACATTTTCTCTGTTACTTTAAAACTAGCATGACCTAGTCTTCTGTGCCACAAATGAATGCAGTTGTAATGTGCAGTTGTAATTTGCTTTGGATTTTTCAGTCTTGTTTTTCATAACATACAACCCATCAGTCTTTTTCCCTTGAGCACACTTTCTCCCCCCTCATTACTTTACACATTCATTTAGAGAAAACAACATCGTACCCATCTGAGTCCAGCACTGATACAATGAAGAAAGAATAATCTAAAATTGGCACATATAATATATGTTTTAAATTCTGTCCCATACTTGGGACAAACAACTCTTGTTGACCTTTAACAGAAACTTTCCCCCCGTCTGCCAGAGAGACACTCTCTCTTGGAGCTTCACCTAAAACAGAAAAACTTTCAGAGTTACTACAAATGCGGTTGCTGGCACTTCTGTCCAGGATCCACCAATTTTCTTAATCTTTCTCCAGTGCCTTAATTGCAACAGACACTGTTGTGGGGGTTTTCAAATGTTACTCTTCAAAGGCTGCTTCTTAGCCTTGTAGTCTCTCAGGAGATGTTTATCCGAGCCACTTCGGAAGCAACAATGAATGGAGTAGACTTTCTCAGTCTGTTCTCCCTCTTGCTTAGGCACAGCATTTCTCCTCTTGGACTGCTTACAGACACATTGGAAATCAACTTCTTCCTCTGTCTGGCTATGCTCCTCCCACTTGGTCTGTTCCTGCAGCAAATGTCCAGTCTCTGACATGGACTCCAAGCTGGAGACAAGCATATCAAAGGATTGAGGATAACATACACCTTATGACTCTCTGAATGCTGCAATTCTCTGTTCCAGTTCCATAAATGTGTAAAGCATTTCTTTCACGTGCTCCCCCACATTCTGCCCTGGCTTTAATCTGGCACAATAAAGACATCAGGTTAGGTAAACTATACCGGCAGCCATCTCTCTGACATAAACCTTTTTCAGAGGCGCCAACAATCATGAGCTAAGTTTAGTCCTCGGACATGGATGAGCTGACTGTCCTCCAAGCACAAAATAATACTAGATAACGCCTTCTCAGTTAATTCCTTCTTTTCTTCATCAGGCTCGTCAGGTGGAGTATCAACTACAGTCCCATGTTTTTCTCTGTCTTCAAAAACATCTCTGTTTTAAAGGATCATGACATGTAGTTATTTAACTTCACTAGAGGAAATCCTTCCATAGCTGCTGAGTTAGACTGTGTCTTTGAACTTTAAATTAGTTCCTTCTGTCTCTAGCCGTCCTCTTACCCCTCTTGGGCTTGACAAGCAGGATGCTCACCTTCTTTGGACCTCTGAAAGCTCCCAGCACTTCTGGACTCCCTCAGGACCCACAAATTGCTCACCAGTGACTCATATGCTCACTTGCACAGCGGAAGCGTGCTGGGCCCATAATCTTTGTCAATGAAGTATTAGGGTGCGCTGAACAAAGCAGGGGTACAACAAGCCTCCAAGGTCCTCTCAGAGAAGAAAAACATGAGACAACAGCTTCTTCCTTAAAGCTTATATTGCATATGTACATTCTTTACAAAATACTTCAACAGCATACCCTCTAGCAAATCTCCAAACCCTCCACACCACATATGTGTTCCTCTGTACAATATATAGTATATATGACCAAGCAGGTAACATTACCTCATCTCAGGTGATTTTATATGAATTACAACAACCTTCTGTGTAGTCATTATGACTCAAGTTTATGCACAGCTGTACAATATGACTGATTAACAACTTCCTTTACACATTCAGTCTAAGATGTCAGTTTCTCCTATTACAATCGTTGTAATTTCCTAACTAGTACCTCTGCCTCTTTTTTCTTTCAGTATTTCTCTTCTTCCCTTGTCTGTTTAGCCACATTCATATTCTGCCTCAAGGAACCATCCCAGAATCTGCTGCAGAATAATGAAAACATGAATCAGATGGTGCCAAAATCATTGTCAGCTTTTCATTACGTATCTTGAATAAACGAGATATAATTGAACACGTAGAAACTGTGTTGTTATTTTTTTACTCTTTCAGATTAAGGATTTACAGAAGGGAAAGAGATGTTTTGTTTTTTAAGGAGAGACTCCTGTGAGGAAAAAAATGCTAAGCCACAAAGAAATCCTGTTGAGTTATGAGAGGTTACTGAATGACCCCTGGGGGGGGAGCTATTTGAATTTTTGGTTACTTTGTTTTGTCTCCGTAAAGATGTGTTTTTTAAAAAAAAAACTTGATCCCATAAGCTGTTTGGGGTTTGTAGAAAAGATTGGAAATTTAACAAAACTGACATGAAAATAAAACTGTCAACATCTGATAGCAAGTTAAAAACTTTGTCATTCACTGAGGTCAGTCATAACAATGACAAATAAATTGAGTTAGGCAACTATGATTTTTTTGCACAATGAGAAGTTAACTCCATTTAAATTTCATCTTATACTAAACTCCACTCAACTGTTTTAAAATTCAGTGAAACCTTTTAGTGTTATTAGTAACGGTGTCTTAGACTGAAGAAAGATCTAAGTGGCAGCACTGTAGGTTGCTAAGTTCCCTCTTCTGCAGTGACCACAGGCTATCTATCCCTCTCCATCTCACCCCTCTCTCAAAGATGGCAGAGTTTGAGGAGCAAAGTTTGCAGACAGCTGCTTCTCCCTCTCTCTTCAAAGCAGTTTGTTCATGAATACAGCCCATGTTAGAGTGATAAGATCCCCAAATGGTGTCTGAAGTTCTTTACACTGCACAGGTACTGTAGGTTGATGTCCTACTTGTGGGATTATTATTAATATTAATGTTTAATATTAATAGTAATAGTAATGGGAATATTAAATTTAAATTCCCGTTTACACACACACACAAACACTTTCACACACACTTTTGAACTTTCTAACGGCTCCCTTTTGCTCTGGGGAAGCCTTTGGGAGCCTTGAAACTTTGGAGTGAAGGCTGTAATAGTAAAAGATTGCTGCTGAATTGCCAACTGCTGGGATCAGGGCCACTGCCAGCTATCCAGTACCAATTTTTTTGCTATTAAAAGGTTTCCCCTTCCTTGTCCCAAGGCTCCCAAAAGCTTCCAGAGGCCAAAAGGGAATCCTAGGGAGCCTCAAAAACTTGGGGGGGGTAGGAGTTTTTCTATTAATTTAAATTAATGGATGGTTATGTCATCTGGCTTACATGGCTTACATTACACCAAGAGGACTCTGGCCACGGCATCTGAGCTGCTTGTAGATCCCCACTGGGAGCTAAAATTGGGTACCTAGCCATGCCTCCCTGTGCAAGGGCTTCTGTCATCTTCCTTTGCATCTCCTTCTATGATTAGTCATCCTGTTCTTGCAGTCTTGCTCCCATAGTTTGTGGGGAGTACACGTGTTTTAAATATATTTTCATTCCCTCCCCCCCAAATATTGCCTTTTTGCTGTTTGAGAAAAGGATATGAGCACTCTGGATACACTTTTTAGTGATTCCATTCATATCTCAGTGGTTAAAATGAGAGATGTTCCTTCACTTTTGAAACTGCATTCTTATTAAATTCATTTAAAGCTTCTATTCCACTGTGATCACTGGGGTTTACTTGTAGGTATGTGGATACAGGATTGCAGCCTTAGTTAATGGATATGTAACAAGGATGGAAAAATTAAAAATGCCCAGGCAACACAGAATAGAAGGGTATGAGCAAATATTCTGGGTACTAAGATTTAGCTCTGTCCTAGCATATAGATAGTAATAATTGTTATTATTAAACCTTCAGAAGTCCTTAATCTGCAAAATAAAATTCCATAGCACGTTAGGGAAAATTTATTTCCAGGAAAAGAGAGTGATGACATTTCTGCTCTTAGAAACTGTGTAACAGGTGTGAAGATTTTCATGAGACAACTAATCCATGTTAAATGATAATGAATAGCGTAGCTATAAGTTTGGGGGTGGGGCACATAATAATGATAACGATACTGATGAAGGAAATTGAAGCTGAATTCCAAATTTGAAAATGGCAAGGACATCGTGGAAGTAGCAAAACCAAATATTTTGAGTTGTAAGACTCAGTCCTGCCATTACGTCCATACCTCTCAGGTGTCATGGTAAACAAATGGCAACTTGTACATTATTTAATTTTCTATTATTTATAAAGATCCCATTAGGGAATCTCTCTAGCTTCAAGAGTGCTTTTAAACACCCCTTAATATAACACTGAACCAGCTTGTTTTCTAATATCTGAAACCCATCCTGTAATTCAAATTCAAGCTCCTCAGAATCTATTGTTGTGAAAAAAGGAATAGGACAGGAGCTAGTAGAGGGACTACGGCTTGCTGTAATTAAACATTTTTTATTTGGGGGTTCTCCAGTGAAAGGAAAATGTGTAAAGATACTACATTGTAAAGACTGACTTGAAGTCGTTGTATCTCTGCTATGTGTTGTCTTTAGACAAAATGCAGACAATGCTGCGGAAATACATAAATGACAAAATGTGCAGCTAAGTACACTATTTTATGTAACAGAGCCAATTTAATTCTGTGTACATCTATGCAGAATTTAGTCCTACTATATTTAGTGGGGTTTATCAGACTGTGGGTTAATTCCCAAGTGCACAGATGTGCAATTGCAGTTTCAGTGTCTTCAGATCATAGCCTCTCTCTCCCACCCCAAGAAAATAACTGAAATAATGCATATTTAACTGAGCCTTTTCATGTTTATGGAATGAAGGAACATCAGCTACCCTAAGGATGTCAGTCTAGATTGAAAAAAAGGTCAGCATAGATCAAAGTAGGTTTAAAAAAACAGTCTAGGAAACCACAGGAGGCCCTTTATTCTCTGTCCTTTCTTCCCCATGCAGAGATACGAATCATTTTCAGAGTAATTTAAATTGCACCTACAATACTCTGGATTTGAAGAAGCAATCATGGGGCCGCAGATGAGGCACCAGCATTTCCTAATCCCACAGCTGCAATATGGGAGAAAGTATCACTTGGATACTGTATGTCAGACCTGGAATGGGAATGGCATTTGATAGGTTGCCCATTACAACCTACACCTCAAAACTTTTATGAAAGGTTTTCATTGTTCTGTGTTCGTGGTTCACAAGCATAGACCTCATACTCCTAAAATAAGAATGTTGCTGTGTTATAATTATGAGGACAGATCACACAACTTACAACCTCTTAAGACAAACATAGCTCATTAGCACTGTATTAAGGTCTCCATGGGTCTTGTTTGTCTGACTCTGCATCCTCTTTTCTGTGTCCTGTGCTGGCAGCAAAAATAGGAGGCTCAAACTCCTGAATAGGCAAGAGGTTTTAGAGGCTTCATATACCTTTTCAGACCTCTACGGTAATTGTGAGAAACTGAAGACATTCCTAAGTTGCTTGTTCTTCTATGACTGAAGGTGTATTTTTTTGTTTGGTTTGGTTTTTAGGCTCTGTGGTTATCCACCTTTCTATGATGAAAATGACTCCAAGCTTTTTGAGCAAATTCTCAAGGCAGAATATGAATTTGACTCTCCATATTGGGATGATATATCTGACTCTGGTAAGGGACAAATCAAATTAGATACTTACACATTAGTTAAGATCCCTTCATTGATAGTATCATGCATGTTTTTGTATTATGAGAGCAAGGGTAATACAAGCTCGTAGAGAAGGAGTGGGCAGCAACCAAGGGTCTCAATAAATCATTTCTACCACTTTCACACGTTCCTGGACCTCAACAGGGCACACCTGTCCATTCCTCAAGATTGAAATTGACCCAAAGCCACAGTAACCCATATTTTGCCACGTTTTGTGGGTTCTGCCCATCTAGTATGTGGAACATTTTCAGAGTGTGGCAAAGAATACAGAATTCAGCTGAGAGTCTTAGTTCCTTTTTCCCCCCTATTTTCACAGTAGTCCTTCCTCAAGCTCCTGGCTATCTGATTGTGAAGAAAATACTTGAATCTTTTTCCTTAAATCTCAAAATCAAGAGACTTGGCTGAATAAACTTTCCAGTATATAAAGTCAGGGCTTCAGTGTCTATCATTGTCAAGTCCAGTTATTTTTTATGTGGAATTTGGATTATCTTGTTACGCATGTTACTTCAGTCCTCCCCCTGACCAGCAAAACTCAAATAAATGATCCAAAATGAGAAGAACCATGCATATTTGCTTTTTTTGAAAAAAAAAATCATATATACAGGTTGCCAAATCCAGGTATTCTTGATGTGGAAATTGGATAACCTTGTTGGAGGGAGAGTTAGAATATGCAGTCTTAGGATACAAATCAGTAATACCATGGAGCTTAATGTATTTGAGTAATTTAATGGAATTGTCGTTCTGAGTCTTAACAACAAAGCAAGAAACCCATCTACTATCTTATGTGAGAAAACATGGGTTTTTGAATGAAAATGATTGTTGGAAAACAATGTAGAATTGAATTACTTTATATAAGATCATTACTTGATTACTTGATTCCTTTTTACTGCTATAATACTGCATTGTGTAATGCTTTTTACATAAATCTACCACAAGAAAATTAGTATTTTATTTTTTAATCCTTCATTGTGGGATAATGTTATATTGCTTCAAAGAATCAAATGTATGTGGTTTTAGATTAATATGAACCTTTAATACTTCTGAGAATCTTTGTTGCTTCAGACATCAACTATGTTTCCCACTCACTCCCTCTCTCAAAACAGCAAAAGATTTTATTCGGAATTTGATGGAAAAAGATCCCAATAAAAGATATACATGTGAGCAAGCAGCACGGCATCCATGGTAAGCAGTTATTTGGTCAAAAAGCAAATACCATATGTTGAAATCTTCATCACTATTTGTCTCCACGGTTAATTGATGATGTCAAACCCTTGATGCAAGGAATGAGTACAAGCAGGTTAGACAGAAAAGAAAGCCAGGTATAAAAAAGGAAGGAACAAACAAGGAAACAAAGAGTAATTACCCTGCAAATTTTAATTTAATTGTGATGTCCTAGACTCACTAGATAAATTGAAAAAACAGGAGATGGCCCTATATGTCAGCATTCCCCATTCTGGGCATCCTCCAGAGGTATTGGACTATAGTTCCTCATGTCCCCAGTAGGGTGATGGCAGCTTCACTCCTATATACTGTACCTGAAGGGCACCTGATCATGGAAGGTTGCTTACTATATGTGATGGTGGCAGTGCAATATCTTCATATGAGATTAAATACTGGAGCAAGGGAAGAGGTAAAGGATGGCAATTTGAAGTGCTCACCAAACTGAGATGGCAGATTATAAACAGGTTTAAGCCTTGGTCTTTGTAAGCAAGAAAGATCAATGGAGAGCAGAAGCAGAAGAAAATAGAACTCTATTTCACTCATAATAAAACTGAGCCATAGAACTATTCCTGATTCCATACACTGTATTTTTCCATGTATATGACACTACTTTTTTCTTAAAACCATTACATTAAGAATTGAGGGGCGTCTTATACATGGAAGTAAGCTGAGGAGAGAACAAAACTGTCTGCACCTTGCCTCTGCAAACAGGCTGCCTCCAATCAGGAGGCTTAGCTTCCTACAGTCAGGAGACTTTTCTTCCACCAATCACAAGCCTTATGAAACTGGTGTCAGCTGATGCTTAACAAACCAATTAGAACACACTTCATTGGAGGTGGAGCCTGTAGGCTTAGATGCAATAGGGACTCTGAGCCCAGAGGCTGAATTCTCAAAGCTAAGTTAAGATTTCTTAATTTGGGGTTAGAAAAAGGGAGGAGGATGTCTTATAAATAGGGTGTCTTATACTCGGAATAATACGGTATGTCAAATTGTGTACGCTGAAGGTTGAAATGTGTGTATTCACATTGGTATGGTGATTTCTCTTCACAAACCATACATATGCTATAACACTTGTATAGTGCATACATTTGTACATTGTAAAGTGCATATACATAATGGCATTTTAACTTCAGGTATACGAATCAGGTTTGAATACATGTAGATAAGTTGTATTGGCCTGATATATATTGAAGTGTATGTACTTATGCACTATTCCAGTGTTACAGCAAGCAAGCAACTGAAGGCAAAGCACGGGTAAGCAAGTCATTGTGATCCCACTGTGCCATTAACTACTCCCATTTGCGTTAAAAGCCTATATAAGTGTGTGTAAAATACATTTATAGAGCACACAGCATATCCCAAAGTATTTCAAAGCATATAATACAAACTATGAAATATTATACTGAAACTATAACTACTCTCACATGTGTTAAAGGCCTACATGTTTGTGTGTGTAGTATACATTTTATAGAGCACATGCCATTTTGAAAAGTATTTCAAGGTATATAATACAAATATGAAATATATGCTAAAATATAAAACATCTCAATAATATTTGTGAATCATCAGTTAGATAGATGTGATAGGATATGAGACTGGGTGTGAATGATACAGATATTTCTTTATTGCTTTACCTCTTTATGGCAAAAATAATTTATTGATTTAATACATTAATGTGATGATAACATAAGAAGAGCTGTGCTGGATTGGCCCACAGACCTGTTTTTCACAGTAGCCAAGCAGATGCCTGTAGCAAGCCCACAAACAGAAGATGAGGGCAATGGTCTTTCGCTGTTGTCATCCTTAATTCACCCAACATCTGCCTTTCTTTTGAGATAAACTTACTCCAGTTTCCTCTTCAATGGGGGAAAGCCAACTTTAACTGTCTTGTGGCACTTACTGGTGGCCAAAAGATGGTATGTAAATACTTCTAGTAAAAGATAGACCGACAAGCAAGCAGTTAGACATGAAAATGTGTGTGGAACCAGAGGTTGGGAGTTCATTCCCCTCTGCACTTCCTAAACAGGGGCTGGACTCAATGATCTATAGCAGGGGTCTCAAACATGTGGCCCCTGCCTTGCCTGCCCCCCTCTGAAGCACCCACACATCCTCTGCTGTCAAGAGTCAAAAAAAGCCTAGCCTCGCTCGCCAGCTCTCTGCCAAGACAGCACCTCTTGCACCCCCCCATCCGGAACTGCAGCCTGCCAGCTGGCAGACAGGCTGGCTGGCTGGCAGGCTGCAGTTCTGGCAGTAGGGTACAAGAGGTGCTGCCTTAGGGGAGAGCCGGCAAGTGAGGCGCACTGCTGGCTCTTTTCTCCAAGCGTCCAAGCCACCACCAAGCGATGCCTGAGAGAGGAGCTCGCTCCCGGCCTGTCCTCAAAGAGTGCCTCCAACAGCGCCACCAACAGCATCTGCTGCCGTGTCTTCCAGGGAAACGGCTCTCTGGCTCTCTTTCTTTCTCAGCACCGCCAGCACCAGCCCGGCCAGTGGCCGCCTCAGCCCCCAGCGGTGCTTCCTCCTCCTCCTCCTCCTCCTCCTCGTCCTGCTTCAGCCGCCTCGGCTCCAGAGGCTGCCTGGGCTTGCCTCGCAAAGTATGCTCCCCTGTTGTGGTGGGGGTAGCTGCTGCTGCTGAGTGTGCCTTTTTTTTTGAGGGGGACCCTCAGAGGAAGGTTGCCGGACCTCTGTGTGTGTGTGTGTGTGCGTGCGCACACCTGTGGAGGGGCCGCCCCGTTCTGTTTCATTTTGCAAGTACCGATGGGGGTTTTTCTCCTTTGGCAAGGTGATTCTGTGAGGGTTTTTTAAAAAAATCTGATGCAGCCCAGCCTCACCCAGACTCTGTCTCCAGCGGCCCCCAGGTAAATTGAGTTTGAGACCCCTCATCTATAGTGTTCCTTCCAGCCCTGCAGCTCTAAGATTTAAGATTATATAGCACTGAAGTATCCCTGAAGTCCACACAGAACTATTTCTAACAAAAAAGACACTTTGGAAGGTTGGAAAACTTTCAACCATTGGTCCAAAATGTCTAGAGGAGGAAAAACAATGTGTATTTGAATGACATAATTTACTCAAGGGTCTCAGGAAATTAAATAAGTCATAAAATTGATAATTCAAACAAAGATCAAATTATCAGGGACATGCCTCACAGTAAAGTAGGTCACCTTTTAAATGTTTTTGAAGGAAAAATATTTTTTTATCCAACATACACACAATGTGCACAGCTGACTACTGGCTTGGAAGATCATTTCTGTTAGTTAGAGGAATAAAATAAGAAACAAAGAAAATGTGGCAAAGTTGACATGCCCTTTTGAAGTCTTCATAAAATACTGTAAGCTTTTTCTCTCTCACTTAACTCAGACATCTCCCTACCAGCATTTTTAACTATTCCTGAAGGCCTAACAAAATTTTTCTCTCAATATTTTAGTCAGGGCAGGTAAAAAACATAGACTATTCATTACCAAAATAGCTTTTCATTTTTATGGCCGTTGTTTATAATTCCAGCTTCTCACAAACAGTGGTCTTGATACACAGCGAGTTAACTGTGCCGAATGTCAGGGTGAAATTAAGGCTGTATTTATTTATTTATTTATTTTATTTAATTTATATCCCGCCTATCTAGTCCCGAAGGACTACTCTAGGCGGCCAACAACAACGATAAAATACAATAAAACAAAACAACAGGTCTTGATACACAGCGAGTTAACTGTGCCAAATGTCAGGGTGAAATTAAGGCTGTATGTTGACCAAAGTCTGAACAATGTGAATTAAACCTACCGTACTTTCACATAAAGGTGCTTAAGCATACAACTATGATAACAAAGTCTGAACAATGTGAATTAAACCTACTTTCACATAAAGGTACTTAAGCATACAACTATGATATTGAATAGATTGTCACTTCATTGGGATGAATTTGCCATTCCCTATCTTTTCTCACACTTTGGAGGAAAAATATCTAAACTCTCCTAGCGAGCAAGGGCAGATTCTAAGACCTGTAATCGATCGTGGTGGTGGTGGTGTTATGTATTCCAAGCTCAGATCAGGTTCACTAATAAGTCAGTTCCATTGCTTTCAGCTGGAAGAAATCATAAGGCTACTTACCTCCCAGTATTTAGCACCACTATAATTTCCTTCCGCTGACTCTAGTCAGGCTTAGATCCAAGGGGGAGGATAGGAAAGGGCAGATATTTAGTGGTATATTTGGCTATCTATCTCCCAAGGCTCTATGTTTGCTTAATAGCTTGTTTATAAATATTTGCAGTTTTGGTAAACAGTAGTTCAGTACTTTGATTGTTTGTCAAATACATCTTTCTTTTAAAAAAGCAAAGCAAAGCGTGCTGCTTATATACCGCCCCATAGCGCTTCAAGCACTCTCTGGGCGGTTTACAAGTTAATTATGCAGGCTACACATTAAGGCTTTCCTGCTTTCATGTGGTCCTTTTAAAATACATTTGATGTGAACATTTGGTGCAAATAGATATGGGAGATGATTTGCTGGCCCTAATAAGTCTTTTAAATGTATTCTTTCTCTGCTACATCTGTGGTAGCAAATGGCCCGTTACCTGATTAAGATGGGGAAGAAATACCTGTGAAAGTAATAGTCCATACAGGTTGCTCTCCTGTTGGTTTCAGTACTTTCAGTACTTTTTCTACTATCAATATGACTCAAAGATTGATCCTATGTCTTCCAAGCCCTTTTCTTTGCCTTTCTGTGGTTTGGTTTGGTTTGGTTTGGATTGCTGAGGGTACTTTGATTTGTCTCAGGGATCTGTTTCAAGAGGATGAGTTTAACACAAATATGCTTTCTACACCATCGGCTCCCAGTCAGAAAATTTATTTGGATTTTTCAAGATATTTCTTTAAAAAATTAAGTAGAAAGAAAGAAAGAAAGAAAGAAAGAAAGAAAGAAAGAAAGAAAGAAAGAAAGAAAGAAAGAAAGAAAGAAAGAAAGAAAGAAAAAGAAA